CTCCTTACAATGGTCTCTTCGACCTCCTTCGCCAACCGACTACAGCTATTAATCCTCTTCGCCGTGGAATCTCCCGAAGAAGAATGGTCACCCGACATGCCCTCTATATAGGGAGGGGCTCTTCAGTCGGATAAGGGATGCCACCTATCCAAAAGCAGGGGAAAGCTCCCGTATAGGAAGAGGGTAGAAGGGAGAAGGGCGGAACCTCTTTCTTGCAGGCCCTGGGCCTAAACAAGGGATGCCGCCTGTTCAGGGCCCGAGGGGAAGGCCTCAAATGAAAGAAAGGAGGAGAAAGAGAAGTGCAAATTTTTTCATACCCTAAGGGGGATACTTATATCAAGGAGAGGGAAGTTATAAAAGAAATGGGCGGTTTATAAATTGGTGACGCCCACGATTTCAAAAAAAAAAAAAAAATTGCCTCTTTGTTTAGAGTCGGTCGTGGTTTAAAAAAAAAAAAAAGATCGGTTAAAAAAAATTAGTGCAGCGGGTCCTCGCACATTAAAACCGGTAAAAAAAAATGATATTTTTGCTGCGGTTATTATAACCGGCTCTGCAAAGAGCGGGGTGACTTTTGGCCACGCACAGCGGCAGCCTGGCAGGCCACCTTCGGGATATTATAGCTTATTAATGTATGTTATGGCTTAATACTTCAATTCCTGCCATGTCATTCTCTACGTTCTTGTGGATGCTTATCTATACTATCTATACTACTATTATAAAAGCCGCTTGAATTTCCTTCCATATCAAATCTTAGCCATTCATCTTATTACTTCTAAAATTATCTTGTCCATTCATTATATTATAAATAATTAATAAATTTAAAAATATCATCTAATTATGTAAATTAATTCCCTTAAATACACCTAATAAAATAGTTATAAAAATTATTTTAGCTCACGCGAGTTTCTACACTCCACGACACTTCGTATATTTCTCTTCCGTTTCCACTCTTCATAGTCGGTTTTTCTTCCAACAATAGCTCGCTCTTCATCTTCCCCTCAGGTTCGCATCCTTTCGGTTATACCCCTTCGTCATAAAGTATTGCTCTTTGTCTTCTTCTTGCTCATTCATTACCCTTCATTTCACATCCTATCGGTTACCATGTTCGCTGCTCTTCATATACCAAAGCAGCTTGTGATTCTGCTATTAAACAATCTTGGTTGTGGCTTTTTTTAATCTGCGTGCAATTTCAGTATACTCGCCACCCTACCGGAAGAAGAAAAATGTCCTCTTCTTTAGCTAAAAACTTTCTCCCGGAGGCTGGGAGGATCTTGATGGCGATGTGAGGGAAGCTGAGAGGATATTGAAGAAGATGAGATGCTTCCACCTCATGAGATTGTGGCGAGGGCTGTTTCCAAGGAGTTTCCTTTGACCACTTTCTCGATGCTGGAAGGAGTCGGGACAAGGGCGGAACCACTACTAGCTTAGGGGGCAATTTGCCCCCTCAAAATTGAAGCTGGTTCCGCCCCTGTTGGGAGGACGCTCAAGGGTACTTAGATGCTTAAATCTTTTTTCATTATTTAATAACTTTTTATTTTGAAGAGCTGCACTATGCTTTTCCTGGTTTGTTGTATCCTTTTATTTTCCATTCAGATTCTGCAATAAACATTTTTTTTTAGTCATTTTGAAATCATTTTACTTCATTATGGTGCGAGAACTCTATCCAGAATTCTGAATGCTGCCTACCTATCGACTGCTCAACCATTTTTTGGCCTCCTGTGTTTATCACTTTGCTTGTGGCTGAATTAGAGGCTAGCTGAGCGTAATAGTACGATATCCTTAATATATATGATCATAAACTTTTTGCATATTGTAATCTTGTTGAGGGCAAATATGGCCAATGCATATGTTTATCATGATTTACATCCCTACAAGCTTATATAAGTTGTTTGTTCTCTTTGTTATTTTCATTTGATTTCTCCAGTTGATTATCATGCCTCATATGCTTGCTTATTACTTATGTTTTGTCCTTGAACGCAAAATAGCTCAAGGACAACCCATCAATTTCATACCAATATCACAAAATAATGCACTATAACTTTGCAATTTTAAGTGCTGGGCTTAAAAAGACAAAATAAAGAATGCTATTTATGCTATTTCTGAGTCGCAAAGCATAGCACATATAATGTATTCTATTTTTTTGTTGACATTTTTGTTATTTTTTATTGCTTTGTTTCAGATTTCTTAGCTTAAGGGCTTCGGCATGAGTTATTTTAAAATAGGTCTATAATTTTCTTTTCATTTAGGATTATACCACTCTGCCAGCTGAGTGAAAACCAGTTGATTTCAACTGATGAGTCTTTACTGCTGATGCTAATGAGTGGTTAACAAAAAAAAAAAAAAAAAAAAAACGAGAGTTTGAAGATGATTATATATTAGTGATTGGTGATGAAGAGCTGGCATGTTATAAGAGTTAAGTTTTGTTTGGGACGGATTTCTTATTGATTTTCAATGCAATTTTTTAGTAAAAAAATTAACATATTTTGTATCAAAAAACTACTTCAAAAAGCATTAAGAAAGCCGTACCAAACATAGTTTTAGTGCTCATTAAAAAAAGCTATATTCTAGATCTTGCTTGAGAGTGAAATAAAAAAGAATTTTTATCTAGGCTCAAAGCCATGCATATGAACAGGAAAATGATAAGCAGGAATAAGATCGGGATTTAGGTTAAGATAATAACGGAGGCCAAACAATTTTAGTTTATTAATTTTTTTGTTTAATATGAAATTTGTAAAATAGGTGAAACTTCAATCGTGATAATTTTATTATAATAGTTTATTTTTCAATTTTATCGTCTTGCATTATTTTTTATGTATATTAAAATAATTTTTGTTACGTCCTAAAATATTCACAACGATAGAGAAATATAAATTTTTGTATGTCAAGTGACTATTATTCTAAAATGGGTTTCCTTCAACAAAGACAAGTGCTTATTGATTTTCTAAATAAATTTTGGAATTAAATTTCATTTATTTATAGCAAATGTACATTTTCAATTAAACCTTGTTTTTGTCAGTTAAATTCATAAAGCATCCCTGACGCTGGCTTCATTTAAAGGAGCTTATTACTGCTAAGGTACCATATAATAAGTGTAGCTTTGATGTTCTAGACGGGAGGAAAATTCTAAATAAGATTGCCGCCTTTTTGACCATGCGCACTAGACTCAAATTTGGCATTTTAAAACTGTTCGAGATCTCTACGCCCAAGACTAGAATTATTTTTTAGTTGCAAATCACATAAAAATTTTCTCAAAAGTTGGAACGCATATTATTCGGACTACTAGAGCTTCTACGTCCGAAAATAGGGGGGCAACTGATATTTTCTCAAAAAAATTATCTTGATCAGGCACAAATCTCGATGCAAAATCAAGTTGGAAACTTCAAGACTTAAATCTATTATCATCTGAACTCCAATTTCAGCAATCTTACAGTCAAACTGAGCGTCTAGAAAATACGAACTCAACGGCAGCAAATTTAACTCAATCCGAGCCCAAATGAGTCCAATTCAAGGACCTGAAGCGCTGTTGGAAAGTTCGTATCTTAATTTGTGTTACCAAATGGTCTCCAAATTTGACGAGCTTATAGTCAAATCGAGCGGCTTGACGAGACAAATTCAACGAGCCCAAGATCGCCAAATTCCAACATCATTAAGACCTTCAATTGTCTGACGAACAGTCCACAATCAAGGGATTCAACATCGGCCGTCATCCAACCACTCTCCATTTACTCTTGATCTTTCACCTATTTACGGAACATGTCGCTCTAGAAATCTATAAATATATCACTCATATCTCTTGAAAAGGGGGACCGGAGCAAGAAGAGAAGAAGAGAAAAGAAGGAAGAAGCTCCTCGACCACCGTCGGAGTTTCGCCGAATCTTCGCCGGACCTTCGCCAGACCACCACCTGAGGCCCTCCCCTTTGCCAAACCAGCACTTGAGGCCCTCACCTCCGCCGAACCACCGCTTGACACCGTTGCTCCGCCGAACCACCACATGAGGCCCTCACCTTTGTCAGACCACCACTTGAGGCCCTCACCTCCGCCGGACCACTGCCTAACGTCGTTGCTCTGCCGGACCACCAATTGAGACCCTCACCTCCGCCGGACCACCACCTGAGGCCCTTGCCTTTGCCGGACCACCACTTGAGGCCCTGTGCTCCACCAGAACATCACCTGAGGCCCAAACTTCCGCCGTACCACTACTTCAGGCCTTGAGCTCCACCAGGCCACCACTTGATGCCCAGAGTTCTCCTAGAATACTTCCGAGCTCCATCACCGGACAACGATCTTTCTGACCCCTGTCTTCTGCCGACTACAGTCCTTCCGACCTTCATCGCCTACTATGGTCCATCCGACCTCCATCACCAGACAACGATCTTTCTGACCGCGATCTCCTATTGACTACGGTTCTTCCGAACTCCATCACCAGACAACAATCTTTCTGACCTCGATCTCCTGCCGACTACGGTCCTTCCGACCTTCGTCGCCTACAATGGTCCTTCCGAACTCCATCACCAAACAACGGTCTTTCTAACCCCGGTCTACTGCCGACTACGTTCCTTCCAACCTACATCGCAAAACAACGATCTTTCTAACCTCTGTCTCTTACCGACTACAATCCTTCCAACCACCATCACCAACAATGGCCCTTCCAACCAAATAAAAATGTCTATGTTAATTATTGTAACTCCCATCATGTGATGCGGTCTATATGACGTACATTTGTAACATCAAGCCAAGGCCTTCTCCATAAGAATGGCCTCATTTGTAATCGACTGCAAATACGAGTTGATTCATCAAACAAGGTCAGGCCCCATGATTTCCCCCACCCCCCTTTCAAGGGTTTTCCACGTAAAAATTCTGGTGTCTCTTATGAATGCCACACCCTCTCACTTATCTGATTGTGTGTTAAATCTTCATAGAATGCTAAGACGTTAAACTATATATTTCTCTACCGCCGTAAATATTCCAGGACACAACAACTATATAAAAAATGCAATTGTTTCCCATAAGATATCAAATGACTTTATTACAACTACAATAATAAGAACTAAACGAAAATTTTACAACAATCCATACAATAAAACTGACCCCAAAAACAAATAAAAAAAAAATAAAATCCAAGCACACCCTTAATCCGCCAATATGATAATGCAGTTTATCCAAAAGCCATATATGAAAGGTATGCCGAGTTACCAATGATGCAGATTGGTAACTGTACTCGCCATATTTCTCATTTTCCACGGCGGACAAACCTTCATTAGAAATTAAAAAAGTTACAACCTTGGAAGAGAGATAAATATCCTTTCACTTCATCTTCTTTGACATCTTTGAAGCTCTTAACCCTAAACAGAGGTTGTGAAAAAATTAGTAATGCCAAAACTGGAACCCACAACCCACCATGAAGTTACAGGGTCGGGGAATGGATGTTCATTAGATTATTTTACAGAGGCAAAGGCATCACCAGCATCCTGCTGGAAGTAAGAACAGTTCAATAAAAATATTAAAAGATTTTTTTTTTTTACCCTCTAAACGAACTATTCAAAGGTGAACCTGCTACTTTCCATTTGTGAATAATAAATAGGGAGATAATCTCCACAAACCAAAAATTGTGTATAACAGCTTCATCATCAATTCATCCTTCAGCAATCATCCGCTCTCCACCAAAACTATCTCTGCCAACCACAGCCATTTCATTTTCATAGTTTGTTTTAGGTTGATTTCCGTTGAACTGCTGGTTCCTCCAGTTCCTATCTACGTCCATTGACTGCCCGTTGGATAAATGATGATCATCATCTTCTGCATCATGGCCAGAATTAATATGTATAAAAAAAAAATACAAAAAGGGAGTTTAGAACTGTAAAAAATAACAAAAAAGGAATTAGATAAGTAAAAAAATAAGCGGCGTTGAAGTAAGTTCCAATATCTGCACTACGCAAAGATCCTATGTGAGAATTTATGTGCGATAAAGATGATCGTCTGCGTATCTCCCATAACGGCTATGTAAATTTTGATTAGGAATAATAGCTTAGTAACCTCTTACGGTTTGTAATGTTTTGAAGCAACTCCAGAGGATGACCGTTTCAATTTTTCAAGATTCAAACAGATTTGTACAGCTTGTCCCTCGAATTCAATTGAAAACTATAAATATGACAGATTAAGATGCCTTCTTTATATAGATGGAGGAGAATCAGTAGAAAAATGATCAAGGCAATGTGGCTCATGCGTATTTACCACTTTCACCATCTGATGCATCAGCAAGCCTCGCAATTGCATCCAAAAGGGATTGCTCGTGCTCCTGAAAATATGAGCAGCCAAATTTCATGTTTCCATGATAGAAGAAAGAACCTCAAAAGGGTTAAAATGTTTACCTTCAGAACTTTTTTTGCCTTCTCGAACTCAAGAGGATCAAGATGAGTTGCATCAAAAATCATCTCCACCTGCTTGACATGTTAAATAAAAGAGATGTTGGTGCCTTCAAAAAAAAAAAAAAGTTCTTCGGAAGAATATCAAATGTGTTCTGACAAACCTCCTTAATAAGTGTTTCGGTATTAAGTATCTCTATTTCATCCAAGTTCTTTTTCTTCACGCCATTTTGCGTTGGAGGAAAATCCTTTCTGGGTTGGTTCTTTAGGAAGCCCCTTCCTCTACCGGCAGCTGGAGTGGTACCCCCTCGGGATTTCTTAAAGCCTCTCCCTATCCCACCCCTACCTGATCTGTTAGTGAAAGGATCTTCACCTTCCCATCTGATATCTTCAGCTGAAATCTGCAACAATTTTAATCATCAATTTATATTTAAATAGCGGTATATTTTTTAATTAATTCTTATTAATCTAACATAATTCGTATGAACCACGATAATATACATTTTCAGTTCAACTCAAATAAAGGTGAAAATGACTACTAAACAATTAGCTCTCATCTAGGTAAATGGATTAAAATTTTTTTGTATATTATAGTGGTCATGGTTTAAAATTGCGCAATATGAGGCTCGCCTTGAGGCCCGCCTTTGCGCAATTCCAATAAAAAACGCCTCGATGCTTACGCCTCGCCTCACGAATGAAAAACACCTCAATACCCGAATACGCAATTTTAAACATTGATAGTGGTTCATTTTTTTTTTTCAACTTCTCTATATTATTTACTAATGTTTTTTAGATGTTTTGGGCTAGCCAAAGAAGCCCTTTGGGTTGGGGCAAAGCAAATTCCATAAACGTAGTAAGAGGATGTGTTTGACCTGTGGGACATCACCCAAGCGACCCCAATTGATAACACATGCACACCTGACATAAATTAAATTAATCTAAAATTATCAAATAATTAAATTTTACTCTATTACTCTCAAGGTTCTGAAAACTAAAACGAACATCCTGGTTGAACCCTGAAGATGTAAGAAATATTAAAATTATTTAATTATTATTCAATATGTAATATTTATGTAAACATAAAATAAACAACAAAGAAATATTTTATGAAATACCATTGTTTGAATTCCAAACAAGCATAAATAGAATTACTGAATGAATCGACAAAATACACAGAATTAATGGCTGAATACTGCTACAGAAAAACACTTCAAAACCGTGAACCACAACCATCCAATTTTACATTAAATTATATTTATCATTTCATTAACTGAAGACTGAAACAAACCAACACAGAGAGAAAGAAACAAATGAAGCAAATTTATTTAGACTTTAATCTGAAGTTATTTGTTTAATTGCCAACCACTCTCATTCATGTCATGACCTTTACAGTACATCTAAAAATTTTACTGCATTTTGTTATTCTCAACATCCCTTGCAATATTGGGCATGTTGACAAGTCACCTAATTATTATCAATTTTACACAAGTAAATCACATGTCATGTACTATCTATGTTTTATTAATCCTAGGCTCTTCAACAACATCTAATCTCAAATTCGCTTGGATAAACAACTAAATATAAATACTCAAAAGCGTTCACAATATAGGTTTAAGTGCATCAAGTCACAATTTCAAATCATATCAGCAAGTATAAGCAAAAGTCATATCCCATAAAAATCTAAAGCAAAATAACGAGCTAAGAGGCCTAACAAAACGAGGTGAACAATTTGATCGGACCATCCATATAGTCACTGGAGGTTAAGATCTAGTTGGAACATCACTAACTAATTCACTGTTTTCAGTTGTCAATCAGCTACGAAAAGAAATGCCTTAGAGAAGCAGAAATTTTGCTAGATTGGATACAAGCTTATGATTGCACAAAATAGATTAAACAATTTCATGCAGGATTAAATAGGGATAAATGGAGAATGAGAATTTATAAAGTTGGTCACAAATAATTTAGATAAAGTTAATGATGATGATATGAATATGCATTTACACCCCATCATGAATAATGTAAAATTGGAAAAGCAATTAACCTACCACAGAAACCCCCTATGCATATAAATTTTTCCAATTCTATTTTACTCATTGAGAAGATTAAATTTGAAAAAAAATGCGAGGATCATGAACAATCTGGAATCGAGGATCATGAATGTTAGGAATGTTGGGCACCAACCCTTTGATCCTTAGAGGTACATTCATGCCTCATATGGGCATTAAGGATTGAGTTTTACAAATTTGTATCTAGCAATGGCAAAAGTGATCCAAGAGACCATCCTACGATTGAGCTTTACTAATGAGATAGCAAAACTACACGTATAGCACAAGATTATGCACCAAAATTGGGCTAACCTAAACTTATATTAAGTTAAGCCTCATTAAGAACAAGCCTCAAAGATGCCCACAAACATGGCTAGACTAAACCAACATGCAGGCTGGGAAGACCAAGTTACAGAAAATTATATAGAACAATAAACAACACAAGGAGTCACACTAAAAGCCATTACCACTTGTCCTTCAACCTATATCCATATAAAGCTAGCACCTATCAAAACAATATAATTTCAATTTTTAGATAGTACATTGCCATCCAATCATTCCCCTTGAACATTTAATAACATTTTTAGTAATAATATTGGTAGGTGATTAAATGAATATAATAAACAAGATAATTAGAACACCAATAACATCAACGCTTTATCCCACTACGTGGGGTGGGGGGGGGTTGGCTACATAAATCCCCTTTCTCTTTAGTGCCCTATTAAGAATCAAATTCTTATTTAAATCAAATAAAAAAAGTTATTTCTAATATTTTCTAACCACGCCTTTTTAGGTCGACCTCTACCTTTCTTAACATAGGCTGGATTTAATATATCTGCTCTCCTAACTGGGTGATCGGAAGGCTGACATTTTATGTGACCAAACCATCTAAGACAACTCTCTCTAATCTAATTTTCCATTGGAGATACTCCAAGCTTTTCACGTATACCTTGTTTTGTATTCTATCTCTAAGTGTAAAACCACTCATCCACATGAGCATCCTCACCTCTGCAACACTTAACTTGATTTTATGCTTCTCTTATAAAATTTTCTCTTAAGTTTGAGTGCTTCTTTTCTATCACACAACAGCCCGATGCATTCCTCCACTTCAACCATCCAACTTAAATTCTACGAATAATACCCCTATCTATTTCATCATTGCTTTGAACAATAGACCCGAGATATCTAAAACGTGCACTCTTTCTAATGACTTGATCACCCAATATCACAATCCCATCATTTGATCTATTACTACTAAAATTATACACCATGTATTTGGTTTTAGATCTATTCATATGAAAATCTTTAGACTATGAAGCTGGCCTCCATAATTCAAAATTTCCTTTAATTCCCTCTCTAATCTTATCAACAAAAAGAATATCATCATCAAAAAGCATACATCAAAGTACATCCTCTTGCAAATACAATAACAACATCTAGCCTTTATCCCACTACATGGGCTCAGCTACATAAATCATTTTTCTCCATTAAGTCAATGTTAAGAGTCAAATTATCATTTAAATCTAAATAATTAAAAAAAACCATTTAAATCTAATAAAAAAAAGTCATTTATAATAAGTTCTAACCAAGTTTTTTTAACGTCTACCTCAACCTTTCTTAAAATAAGCCAAATCTAACACATCTACTCTCATAACCGGGTCATCAGAAGACCGCCATTTTATGTGACCAAACCATCTAAGGCGACTCTCTCTAATCTCATCTTCCTCTTACAAATGCCCGGAGAAAAAGATAATTAGAAGACTAAATTAATTTAATGATGATTCCACTTTTCATATATAATTAGTTTTTGGAACATTCTCCTAGAATTAACTTCAAAAATCTAATGTCACCGTTTATATCTACCATCAATTCCTAGCAAAACAATATATAAGTTATTCAATATCCAACATGCAAAGGTAGATAGCCTACATCCCATATTATTTGATGCTTGTTTATGAAATAAACATAATTAAAAAATGGTATGAAGAACACTACAGAAAAGCAAGTGGAATCATGGTTTAAAATTGCGCAATATGAGGCTCGCCTTGAGGACCGCCTTTGCGCAATTCCAGTAAAAAACGCCTCGATGCTTACGCCTCAAGTTTTTTTTATGAGGCTTGCGACTCAACTTGGTTGAGGCCCGCCTCACCTCACTGGCATGAGGCTTACGCCTCACGCTATATATATTAAAACTTACATAAATCTTGAAGTAAATGCCCGACATTGGACTCTATATGAGAGGAAGGGGAGAGAGCAGTTTCTCATGATGATGATTCAAATGAAGAACCCCTTAGTTATGATAGGGATGATGACTTATGAGTTCTTATGTGATATGTCATTGCTATTTATTTTTGAAATTTTGAATTATATGTTAAAGAAAAGAATACTGGGATTTGGGAAAGATAGAATTTTGAGTTGAACTATATTTCATGTTGTCTTATTATTGGGATATTTTGATTTTCCTTCATATCTTATGCTTTTTTATGTTTTATATTATTCACTCATTAGTATATAAAAAAATTATCATTTTATGTTTACGCAATCTTTTGATTTTAAGGCTTACGCCTCAAAACGCCTTGAGGCTTACACCTTGCCTCCCGAATGAAAAATGTCTCAATACCCGAATACGCAATTTTAAACATTGAGTGGAACGCTATGCTTAAATGCCAAATAGTGTCTTAATTTATCAAGTTAGGATGACTACAGCTAAAAGAGGAGATGAAAGAGGCTTTTTTTGCATACTAGCCTTTCTATATACTGTGGGCCAAATATGCAAGAAAAAAACTCTTCAGTCTAGTCCCAAACAAAAAAAGAATAAAGGGAAAAGCGAATAAATGGTGAGACAATATTAGTTCAGGTGCATTCTTCCTCCGGAGCTTCTCATCTTAGTTTCACAATTTTAAAGTAGGAATTAAGACAAAATTTTTTCTTCAGTCCAACAGAAACTCAACTCCCAGATAAGATAGGCTCAAAATTTTATAGTTGCTCAACCAAGTTTTAAATACCACTACATTTTAAATGTATTTAAAATCCACATAACAAATTTTGGTAGCATATACAATGCTCAAGCATGCTTACATCCCAATGAAAAAAACAATCCACGGAGCTAGCTTGCAATTTTCTCACAGCAATTTAGAAATGATTATGAAGCATACCATACCCATGACAGCACAAGAAATAAACACCAATCCATTGAAGTACTTAAAAAACTTTTGGCATAAAGTTTATCGTCACCTCTTCAAGATTCACCCATTCCCATGTCTCATTTGGTGTGTTTATATCATAAGTCAAAAGATGAAGACCCTGAAAAAAAAAACTTATTAATTATTAGTTTAAGTACGCATCAACTATTTAAAATCCACACTAAACAATCAAACACACCTTCATTGCATCATAATCACTTATAACAGCCTCATAGAAATTATTATCATCAGGCCACCTTGTCATAACTTTTCGCCCAATTAATGGATCATACTGTGCAGCTTCAACTGAATGAGCAGTTGTGATAGCGCCCAAACTCCTGTTTACAGTTTGACCCCTCCCACTTGGACCAGTAGGCGTATATCCAGCAGGCAATGCTTGTCCCTGCAGAGTGAGGAGCAAAAATGTGTGAAAGAATTAGATCACAAGAAAATTGGAAAGTCATACACACAAACCAAGAAAAACTAATTCATTTATGAGGGTTCTCATTACCAATTTAGGTTTCTTTCCTCTTACTCCAGGAGCTCCTCTTTTTGCTGCTGAAGATGACTGCATTGGAACACCAATTGGCTGGGAGTGCAATGAAGGAGATGGTACACCTAGAGGTAGGGGAGGTATTATTTGAGAAGTCTTCTGCCTCTTGCGTGAAGCTGAGACAGAGGGACTAGGTATAATATCATGATTGGGTTGAACATTACTAAGGAAGCCAGATTGAAGTCCACCTGACTGTCTCCACTCCCTAATAAATTTGTTAAAAATTACAAACACTCAGAGAGAGCAGAAATGCTCAAAAATAGTGTTCTTTGATCATTTTCAGACCTTATTCCCCGAATAATTTCATCAGCGTTAACCCTGCTCAACAAATCTCTATGTTCATCATCTGATAATCTCAGTTCTTTTCGTAGTTCAGTAATGAGACCTTCCTTCTCCTGCAGAAAAAAAATAACCACAATTTTAAAAGAAGAAAACTATAATGGAAATCAAGATAATTGATATATATATATATATTACTGTTCGAAAATGGAAAATACCCAAGTGATCGCATCAGATTGAGCCTTAAATGCCCTTAGAACTGAACTATATGCTTCTTGCTCGAGTTGGTGAATTTGTCTCTCCATATCATTTTGAACTCTTGGGTATGCATGACCTCCAACAACAGGTCTGCCATTCCGAGAAACAAGTCCACCTCTTGCATTTCTATTTTGATGTGACGGTGGAAGATCATCATCAGTTCCTGCAGGTAGGTTTGATGGCATTATAATAAAAAAACAACAAGATGTACAAAAAATAAGTATTAGCATGCAAGTCAACGCTTGTGAAATGAAAGTACCAATTGGGTCAAACAACACATCTACCTTCATCTGCAACCAATGGATACAATAGTGTTATAAGCACAGCACATTACAAGCAACGTGCATGAAAGTAATGACATATGTCAGTAACGACTGTTAGCTAAAACTTCAGCCACAAGGCAAAGCGTATATTGAAAATTCTTGCTTTTAAGCAGCTGATCCATTGTTATAATGTCTAATAAATTTAGAAGTATATAAGGGATGCATCACAAAAATGTATTCTTTTGCATATTCCCGAGACATAGCCAAAAAACTTGGTATTTTACTCCTGTTTGTAAAATTCTAGTAAAAACTAGTTTGAATACTCCATACAGTTCATTTCAATAAAGATGCATTCCCATAAAATGGACGGGTACAAAAATATCCTATCATTCTACCATCTATGTTATAGATATTTTATTCTTCATTAAAAGCATCCATCTTTTAACACATGCATTCTCTTAGTGCATGGTTCTAGATAAGAATGCCTAAGACTAAAATTATCTTCACATCTTGTTCAAAGATGTTGATTCACATAATGGAAAAAATTTGGCTCAAAAAAAAAATCCTGACCATAAAACTAAAATTGCCAAGTCCTAAGTCCTGGATGTAAAAAGTAGAGGGTTGTGTTAGGTAGTCGATAGCCAGCATAAAACTTGTTAAATAATCATGACATTAATATTTTAATACATTGTGTTAATGCTAGGGTTTTCCCTAGAAGCCATGCATTGTATGGCCTAAATACATTGTATGGCCTAAATACATTGTATGGCCTAAATACAGTGAGAAGTGTGCAACGGCCGCTGCATCAATACTTGTATGCAATGCTAAAATAGATGGTGGTGAAATTAAAATATGTAAGAAAAAATAAAAAATAAGAAGATTTGTTATAAAATTGATTTGGATGTAAAAATTTTGAAAATTGGGAAATATATAATGTTTTGCCCGTAAGGAGCATAAGAAAACAATTTGTGATGCAAATATTTTATCTTTTAATGATTTATATAATATATTAATTACTAAAAAAGGCAAAAGATATATGTATAAGCTAGTCAAATAAAAAGATAGTAGTAAGGATTTAGTTCAAGTGAAGTGTATTAAGAATGAAGGTTAAAAAATATATTTTTTAGAATGGGATATTCAACAAAGGTGGATGAGATATTTTGCTAAGTTATTCAATGAAGATTGTAAAAATACAATTGACTTTCGTGACCTTAACACTCTAAATGAAAAATAAAATTTTTTGTTTTTATCCGTGTATAACTAAAACTAAAGTTAAGAAAGTTTTAAAGAAATTAAAGTGTAGGAAAACTGTTGGACCTGATGATATTCAAATAGAGGTGTGGAAATGCTTAGGAGATGAGGAATTTCTTAACTTAACTTTTTATTATTATTTTGAAGTCTAAAAAGATGCCAGATGTGTGAAGAATGAGTGTGTTGATTCCTATCTTTAGGAATAAATGTGATGCACAACTGCACAAGCTTGTGCAAATTATAGAGGAATTAAGTTGATGTGTCATACTTTAAAACTATGGGAGAGAGCTATGGAGCATAAGTTACAACATGATAATAATGTTTCTCCAAATCAATTTGGATTCATGTCGGATAGGTGTACACTATGGAAGTCATACATTTATTGAGAGGTTTGATGGAGAAGTATAGAGAGAAAAATGAAGATCTTCATATGATATTTATTGATTTAGAGAAAGTATATGATAAAGTTCTAAAAGAAGTGCTATGGAGAGTTTTAAAAAAAGAAAGGAATTAGTAATCTTTATATTCAAGTCATTAGGGATATGTATACTGGAGTTATTACTTGTGTTCAAACACAAGGTGGTTAGACCAAGTATTGATAAGGACATTCGACCTTGGAGGATCTACTAGAGGCGTGGCCGTTGATCTACGACCACGATTGCGCCGCTTTATTTTCTATCTTCATTGTATTAGAATTATTTGTATTAGTTTATTGTGTTATGAGTTATTATTGCATTTTACATTTTTACTCTCATTTGAGGGCCTAGTTATGTGTAAACCCTAGGAAAAGTTGGTCTTTTATTTTCTTTCATTGTAATGAGATTATTTAAAGGCCACCTCCTTCTTCTTGGAGGCTAAAGAATGATTAAATGAAAATTTATGCGCTTGTGTGTTTTGGGGAGAGCTTGAGAGTTCTTGAGGATTGAAGTCCCTAGGTAAGGACATCGCAATACCCACCAACCGCAGGAAGCGTCTAGGTTCGTGATCTTCCTTTTCATCATATCCTTCCCCTCCCTTTCCCCTAAACCGCCGGCCATAACCCCTCCTCCCCCTCTCAGCCGAACCCCACCACCACTTCAACCCTAGGCCGACCAACCCCCATCTCCACCCTACAAGCCACCGGCCCCAACCCATCTTTCCCTCCAAACCGCCGGCCAACATCAACCCTACCCACTCTTCTTAGCCGCCGGCCACCTCCATCTTCCATTGGCTCCACAAATTTCCTCTAGCATTCAATTCCCTTCCTATTTTAGCCTTCTTCATTTGGTAACAAATTTGAATTCAAATTCAAACAAATTTAAATTTGAATTTGTTTTCTAATTACTATTTTAGGAAAGTTAATTAAATTATGTCCAATTAAATTTCTAATTGGATTTGATTTAAATTAATTCTTCCTAATTTAAGATTCCAAATAAGGCAAGCTTTAATTCCTTTCCCTAAGCCCTACCCCACATTCATTAAACCTGAACACCCTCTTTCCCCTCCCTCTTTGGCCGGCCCCTCTTCCTCTCTCTCATCTAATTAATAAGTCCATTAATGCTCCGCAAATTAACCCCCAATTCTCCAATCATCTTTTCCCCATTGGCTGAAATAAAATTCAGCAATTTGAATTTGATTCCTTTCTATTTCAAATTCTAAATCTGAAATTAAACCCCTTGCCCCATTCCCTCCAAAACCGACCTTTAATTCTCTACGATTTTCCCTCCCAAAGTAAGCCCAACCAACCTGGAGTCTGCTGTCCAGGGAAGTTCAGTAATAGAGATTGCTGTCCAGCTCGCCGGAGAGAAGTTGTTCGCTGCCCAGAAGTTTTTCCGGATCATAACTGCAGTTCAAGACTCCCTAGACCAGCAGGATTGCTGTCCAGAACACTCCTGGTTGCTGTCCAAAGTTCCCAGCATAACTTAGCTTGCTGCCACCTTTCAGAATCAGCCCAAAAACACCCAAAAGATTCATGTTGCTATCCACTCATTATTGACACCCAAAACGCCTACACCGGAGCCTCGCATCCTTTTCCTTTGGGTAAACTCTTCATCAAAATCTTCTATCTTCGTAATGGCTCTCAATTGTGCCTTTAATTGATTCATTAAGATCGTGTCCAATCTCTCCGCTAAGCCTAGTAATTTAGAGAGTTGATTTAGGGATCTATTTTTCATATTGACTAGTCTCATTGTTAACTTAAGGATTTCATGTTCGAAATCTTTCATGTATGCTATGTTTTGAATCATTGATTATTTTGTGATCCTAACTTCTAATTGTGTGACTTGGCCTAAGCTAGTCTCATCGCTTTCTTATTTTATTTCATCATTTAATCACTACAAGTATTTTAGTTAATAGCTCTCTAAATTAAATTGTGCAAGATTCTTTTCTAATATCGCTTAGACATTTAAGTCCTGCATCAAGTATTTTCCAATTTCAGTTGGATTAGATCAAGGATCAACCTTAAGCCCATATATTTTTGCTTTAGTCATGGATGTTCTTACTAGAGATTTGCAAGAGGATGTTCCCTGGTGTATGCTTTTTGCTGATGATATTCTTCTTGTTGATAAGACTAAAGAGAGAGTTGAAGGTAAACTTGAATTATGAAGTTCAACCTTAGAGTCTAAATGTTTTCGTTTGAGTAGAATCTAAAACCGAATACATGAAGCATAATTTTAGTAGTAATAGATCTAGTGGAGGGTTTGTAACTTTGAGCAATCAAGTCATTAATAAGAGTACACATTTTAGATATCTTGGGTTTATTGTTCAAAGTGATGGTGAAATTATTAGTAGAATTCAAGTTGGATGGATGAAGTGGAGGAATGCATCGGGCTTGTTGTGTGATAGAAAAGTATCACTCAAACTTAAGGGAAAATTCTATAAGGTGGTGGCTAGACCTACAATGCCTTATGGCGCAGAATGTTGGTCATTAAAAGAGAAACATAATATTAAGTTAAGTGTTATTGAGATGAGGATGCTTAGGTGGATGAGTGAATTTACTCTTAGAGACAGGATACAAAATGAGCATATACGTAAAAAGGTTGGAGTTGCTCCAGTGGCATATAAGATTAGAGAGAGAGTCGCCTTAGATGGTTTGGTTACAAAAAACGGCAGTCTTCCGATGACCCTGTTAGAATAGTAGATATATTAGATTTAACCTATGTTAATAAAGGTAGAGGTAGACCTAAAAAGACTTGGTTAGAAAATATTAGAAATAACCTTTCTTTATTAGATCTAAATGATAATTTGACTCTTAATCAAACACAATGAAGAAAAATGATTCATGTAGCCGACCCCACGTAGTGGGATAAAGGCTTGATGTTGTTGTGATTGTAGAAAAATCCTAACCATTTTTTTTATCAGGATAAACTTAGAATTTATTTTTGAGATAACTGCAATACAAATTTTGATTAATTCCATGCATTGCATGTATCTCAGAGAAAATAAAATTCAAAACCCATTTTAATCAAAATTTGGTTGAACCACCTGACCCAAATTTTTTTCATACATAACATATTCCATACAATTAAAAATATATTATCTGCATAATCTAGTATTGCACTTACCAGAAATAAAGAAAAAAGATTCGCATCAAGTGTTAGATTTTGGAACACTTGTTGATGACTACTTAGTGAAGGAGCGTTCTAAAGCATATAGTTCATAAGGCAAAGGAGAGCTAATAGCATTTCGGGTAGCGAGCTCCAAGTGAATTATTCAGTCATACCACAATAATTAATGCTCTGCCGCGCATGCTATCAAAACTTTTGCTTGTTCTCAAGAACTTCTAGCCATGAGTTTTG